GTCCAACCATCATCCCCATTGGCCCAAAATGTTACGTAGCAGCAAACGGAAGTTCGTTGTCCTGTCTACAGCGACAGTAACATCGGCAACAACAGCAACATACTATAGAAATAATACTCAACAAATAAGAAAAATGAAAATGAAAATAAAAACAAAACGCAATTCGAGATAGGCACAAAATATGTATGTATATATAGTATAGTACATACTTGTATATATATATATATATGAGACGCGGCATGAAATATTCAAACACACTACAGTTTTTGCTGCTGCTGTTGTTGGTATTGTTGTTTTTGGCGCATCTCATGGCGCTGAAAATCATTTCCGGGCCGCCCATTAACTTTTAGCACGTCTTGAATTTGATTATACGAGTATTTATTTAAAAATTGTTCCTTCTGCTCCAGAACCAAACCGAACTGAACCGAACCGAACAGAACAGAACGAAACAACAAGCGGTAAGAGAAACAATCATCAGTTGCTAGGCACCCCTCTCTATCCCTCTATCCCTCTATCACACTATACCTCTGTCCTCCCTCGTCATCGCCGTCTGTGTGCTGTAACAAATGGGCGGTTCAGAGTCGTTGGGTGTGTAAGCAAGAAGTGGCGGAGGGGGCGGCGGAGTGGGGGAGGCTGCAAAGGTGGCGACCAATGTATTTTGATTTGCAATTAAATTAAAATCACGCAATTCTCACAGCAGGCGGCCAACAATACTAACAATTGAAGCAGCAGTTGTTCCAGCGATTAACAAAAGGAAAGAAAATTACGCATACGCCGCATTGTGCGTAACCTTTTCGTTTGCGCAAACGACTTAATTAAGTTGCCTGGAAAACTAGTGGCGTTCGAGAGGAGGTGTAGTTTAAGAGTTACATTGATAGCCGAAAACCTTGGAAAATTCCGAGTCTCTGTTGAATTAATGGTTCAATTAGAATACCATTTTGGAGCAGGGATGTTGTTTGGCAAATAGATTAATGACACAGTTGTGTAACATTTTGAAAATATGTAATGCTTTTAGATTGCTTAGAATAGTGTATCCTTTAATTCACATTCACATAATTACTTTATTTCCTAAAACTCTAAGCTTTTAAACAAAACTTCAATTCTCATTATCTAGACTCCTGCTGCGTTTTCCTTGCACCCGTTTTTCTGATATATCTATTTTTACAGCCAAAGAACCTTTACTTAGATACTAGCTATCATACAATGTCTTAACAATTATTTAATTCTCAGTGACGTGTCTTTAAATACTTGATAGAATAACATAATTATATGTGTTATATATATTAAAGAGGGTCTTTTATTTTTCACAGTTATTTGTTCATTCTTAAAGGTTTGATCTTGCAATTTGTTTAATAAATGAAATAAAAATGATAAATATAAGAAAAACCCTTGAATTATGATGAAAGCAATATAGTTGTCATTAGAAGTGGAATTTATATTTTCTAAGGCACTTTATGTCTCGTTCGTAGGGAATCTTTATTAATAAGAGGTTTATTTTTTTAAAAAAAAAGGCCTACAAAATGACTTTGCCTGAGATGGTGTTTTATTTATTGTTTTGTGTGAGAATATAGTTGAAATTAATAGATCGTATTAACAAACTAATGAGGATGTGTGACGCACACGAGTCGACAGCAGCATGCCTTCTTTTCATTTTTTATTTATATTCATATTGGTTCTTATTCCAATAGTTCCTAATGGGCACTCTTAAATTTAATTTAAAGTGATCTTTATTTCGTTTATCGAAAACCTATGCCTTTCTAAGTATTTCAATAAGCATTGGTACACCTATTCTGTTTCCTCAATTAAATCGAAGAGAGTTGTATTTTTGAGCTAAACATTGAGTATCTAAATGCTTTTTCCATTTCTAGTTTCCATTTCACGCTTTTGCTTAAGAAAATGCAAGTCTGATTAAAAAATCTCCAAGTTATATTTTATTTTATTTATTCATTTGAATTGAATACTCTGCAATGCACGTGATAGTCATTCTCCGGCACCAAACAATTAAATCGAGGAGAGTTATATTTTTAAGCTAAACAGTGAGTATCTAAATGTTTTTTCCATTTCTAGTTTCACTCTTTTGCTTAAGAAAATGTCTGATTACAAAATTCCAAGTTTTATTTTATTTGATTTGTTCATTTGATAAAAATTGAATACTCTGCAATGCACGTGGGATATTCACTCTCCGGCACCAAAAAATTGGTGAAAAATTCCAAACAATTTTGTATTTTGGATATTTATCAAAAAGCCTCATTCTCTCCTGCTCTCTCTCTCTCTATCTTCTAGCTAATGGTGTTGATGTAGTAGAGTCGCTTAACAATAAGACAAACAACAACAATAACAGTTTTGTTGTGTTTTTTGTTTTCCTATTCTTGATACCTAAGCACACTCTATTTCCCTCCACTCCGCTCCGCCCTGCCCCCGGGCCGCAACGCTTCTGCCATTGTCGTATAGCACTGTTCATCTAATTAACGCACATTAATATTTCAACAATAATGACCTCGGCGCTATTGTTTGCTGTTGCTGCTGTTAGTGCTGGTGTTGTTGTTGTTGTTGTTGTTGGCAGCGTCCCGCACGCCTAAAAAGCTGTTAAATAAATATTTGCCATAAAATATAGATACAGTTCTAGCTGTTGTTGTTGTTGTTATTATTATTGTTATTGTGGCGGCGGCTTCCTTTTTTGCCGCCGTTGCTGTTACCGTTGCCTTTTGCCGCTTCATGTATTAATAAACCTCAAATGCGCATTCTTTAGCGTTTATTGTTTATAAACAAATAATGGGCAGCTAATAAATAAATCAATTTAATTTTTCCTACTAAAAATGTGCAAATCCCAAAAAGGCATTCGAGCGCAAATAATCATAGTCCATTGAAGGCGCGAAAGGGATTGTGAATGGGGAATGTGGAGTGGCTAGTTGCTAGGGTGCAGGGTGTAGGGTGCAGAGTGTAGGGTGCAGGGGCGACGAAAATAAATTTCAGTTTAAGCAACTGTTGCAAAACAAATTGTCTAGCAAGGAACACACACAAACACACACACACACACAAACACACACACACACACAGTCAGCAAGCGAATTAATCAAAGCAACAAAATAATATTTGCGAAAATAAATCATTATGTAATTATACATATACAGATCGGTACACATACTTATATATACTTATGTGTGTGTGTGTGTGTGGCAAAAAGAAAACTAACAAACTAAAGAAAATGCGCGCACGTGTAACTGAAAATGTGTTTACGATTGCGCTTTTGACGTTGCGTGGGCGGCAACTGTTGGCAACAGGAGTGAAGGGAGCGGGCCAGGGGGAGGTGGAGGGTTGGGTGCTTTATGGACGACTCTGGGACGCTCGCCTGATGCTCGTATGCGATTCAAATGACAGCTATAAATAGAGCGACAAGGCAAATATGTAGCTTACGAATGACGAATGGCGAATCGCGAACGGTGGGCAATTGCAAGTACGAGTAGAATATAAAGAACAATTCAAGTGACAGACAAATGGATAAGACAGAGAGACAGATGAGACAGATAGGCAAATAATAAAATAGCAACAAATGGGCACATTAAAGTTATTGTCAAATGCCAAATGCCACCAGCATGCTAGGTGTCTTCCAAACTAAACGAAATGTCTTCCCCATTCAGTTCTATACAATGTTTTCTTTTGTTACTTTATTTGTTTATTTCCTTTAAATTTCCATTCAAATATATTCCTGTGGAATTATCACAGCAGAAGTCCATTCTATGCTGCTAGCAAAATGCAAAATGCATTCAACAACAAATGCATTTTTTCCAACAACATAAAAGCCACATGGTACCAAATCAGGCGAATACGTGTAGTGTGATTGATGATACAAATTTTATTTATAGCCCACACATTCAGAGAAAATGTACTTCATAGAAAAAGCTAGAGTTGAAAGCCAAGCTCAGGAAATCAATACAGTTCGAACAGCAAGGATTGACAGTCCAGGCAGTGAGAAATACTCTGCATTTGGTCGACACAACAAAAAGTTTCTTATTTACTTTGAATGAATTTTTCATTTAAATAATCTTATTTAAAAAAAAAAACAAAGATTTTTAATAAATTAGATGTGACACATGCCCTTTTCAGAGGGCTCTTTACAAATCAAAATGCTTTCAATAGGGCCGGGAATAACTTTAAATATGCGTTTAAGCAGCAGTGTCAGCACAATATTCCATAAACTTGGAATTAATCTTATTTCATTGAAATATTTTTGTCTTTGTGTTGCTTTATTTGAATTCCCTTTCTTTAAATTCACACTTTGGGCGAACTTTGGTGAAATCATGCATAGTTTTGTTGCAAGTTGCACTGATTAAGGATTTTAGTTGGCCAAAATATGTAATACACTACAATTTTGTTCTTTTTATTACGTTTTTACCACTAATTAATTGTGGTGTGTAAAAGAAAAAAGAAAACTGAACATTGAAGCATATTTTGTAATCGATATGCTCCCTGAATGTCCCAAATTTTGGAATAAATGCAAATATACTTTTCTTACTCGAGCCGTTCTGTTTACTTGTAGTAGTTATGGCATATTTAATAAAATACAGTCATAACTCAAAAAAAGATTATTTTTTTATATCTATCGCGGCATATTCTCTTCTAATTCAAAGAGTATTTAGGTTATGAAGTTGAAATTTTCACACAATATAAATCAGCATGCTATAGACATTTCAGCATTTTTAACTTGAAAAGTGATGTCAAAGTGTTAAATGAGCGTTATGTACACAAACAAGCCTTTGATTACACACCATGGCGTATACGCAATGCACTTTTCAGCACTCCTCAGCCCGTCTGTCTGTCTCTCTGTATAGTATGTGATGTTTGCGTTGTATTTCTCAGTTTCTGTTCAAAGTTTGCATAAAACAGCATTTGAGTTGTCCAACAACAACTTGAAATGTGGAAAGTTTGAATGCAAGTGCTGTCAACGTTTTACGTTCACCCTTCGTCGGTCATTTGAGATTGAGGAAGAGATTGGGAAGAAGTCGTTGTCCAAATATTGTTTTTATTACTTTTTTCCGAAACGTAATTTTGCTCGTATTTTGACATACAATAATAACAGTCCAGGGATGACAAGCGGACACTTTCAATTTGTTTGACACTGTTATGGATACCAAAACTTTATTTATTGATTCTTCGCACTTCATTTGCTCGATGGTTGCTCTCTCCTGCCCCCTACTGCCCAGCTCGATGTTGTTTTCTTGATTCTTTCACACACGCTGCTGCCTTCTAGAACTCATTTTCTCACACACACACTCGTACATACACTGCAGCTTTTTGCCTGCTTCGTGTTCTGTTCAAGTCCTTTTGTTTCAATCACAGGCTCTCAGTCTCCTAACTCGTTTTCCATTTTCGTTCGGATGAACTCTTGCTTTCACATTTGGGGGTTTTTCTTTTTTAACCGACGAACTTAAGTTTCACTTACGCTGTTTTCTTCAACTCTTCGTGCTTTACTTCCCTCACAAATCAACTTCGGATCACACTTCATCTATTACTTACGTACTCCTGCTCCTCCATTAACAGATTGCTGGTCCTGCTCTCCGTGTTGGAATATTCTCTCTCACTTGAGTCCGTTTGGGTCTCGTCCTGGCTTTCAAACTGAAAAATTTAGAAGAAGCAATCAATTATTCCCTTACATCTTCTTCTCTCTGTTCCTTACTTCATTTGGCTTAGTTCGCCGTTCTTCTAGTTCAGTGTCCGGTTCTGTTGGCCACCTGGACGTCATGTCCCCGACTTGTTCCTGCGAGCTCTCCTTCAAGTCCCTTATATAATCTAAATCGCTGTGCATTTTCGCCATTCCCTCCTGCAATTCAGCTAACATGCGTCTGTTTTCGCGTGCAAAACGCCGTATGGCCTGCATTCGCACCCGATGCTCGACGAGCGCGGCTCCGGCTCTGTCGACCACCTCCTCCATTAGCTCTGGATTGTACATCAGCTCGGTGCGCTGCGCTGGCGGAATCTTCAGCAGCAAGTGACGCAACATATCGTCGAGAGCCTCGGTCGGCAGCTGGCTAGGGTCGAAGGTCGGGTGAGACTTGGACATGTTGAAGCGAACGATTGTTGTTTATGCTGTTGTTTGATACGATTTGGAATTTTTCAGTTCGAAAAATGAACGTGTTTTTGTACTGTGTCCCTGTACTATAAATCAATGTCGGATCTATTTTCCAAAAGGGTTCCTAGTGTATTTGACATAAAAAAGAATACTTACTTGTAGTTTTTTACAATTACGAAACAGGACAAAAAAAAAAAAACAAAATCTTCCAATAACAACACTTTTGTATTTCCCAACCATCTGTTTAAGTAGAAATTGTTTGTTAAGCCATTTATCATTAGCCAGGCAGCTGCTGAGTCTTTAAAAGAAGACGTTAGGGAAATCAATCTAGACATCTGATCGTCTCTCTGTCCATCTGGATGAACGTCTAGATTTTGGAAAACGCTGCTCCTGTACTGATCTAACAAGATATGTAAACTCTCCTAATCCCTAGGCAATACTATCGGATTTATTTTATTATTTTGCAAATCTGCATAAATGTATGCATACGTAAATAATATGAATTATACTTGGTACATAAAATATACTATACAAGACTATATTAGGTTAGCAGAAGGTGAAAAATGTAACAGACCTTTCGCATATATTTTAGGTTTTGTCCAAAGAAGAAGCTCTCGTTTTAAACATAAACATACTTTAGCTTCAAAACATCAATTAAAAGGCATTACCAACTATAAAAAATATATAAAACTATATAAATAACTAACTGGTTAAGTAATAAATATTGAAGTTTTGTTATTTATGGTCCCATTTTTTACTGAACTGATTAGAACGCACTTCATACCCTAAATATTCGCCGAAATTCTTGATGAATTTTTCGGTTCTTGAAGACATAAAGGATGCCAAACTTTTTGAACTGAATATTTTAAAGTCGAGATACCCTACTTTAGCTTTTCCACTTGTTTTTCTACCTTTGGTACATAATTTCAAGAAAAGTTATTGGCGAAATCATTTTATTCTGATAGCTGATCCATCTTCATCTTCTTCTTCTTGCTGCTGTCCTAACATTCTGTAACATTATATCTAGCTTGGGTGCAGAAAATTGTCTTCCATTATTAATATGTTCGTTCGATCGACAGGAATTTCATTCGACCGTGTGGCATTAATTTTGTGATCTGTTGCAATAAAGGACTTCTAATTAGTTTAATCAGCATCAATTTTAGTTCTTAGCTGGCCCTAAAATAAAAATACCCCATTTTCTGAATTACGAGAAGGGGGATTTTATGCCAGCATTTATTTTGATTCTTTGAAAAGCCCGAATCAAACTTGCACGTTCCAAGCGTTTTATTAATGTTTATCTGCATTATTTATTTATTTATGTATATGCTTATTTTATTGCCCCTTTCTCTTTTTATAGTATAAACAGGCTCTTGGCAAATTTCTTTCGTCCTTCGTTTGCGTTTGGTGTTTCGATATTTGCTGAAAATAATACCAAATGAACATTCTCAGATAACAATAAAAAAGTAATCTCAACAGCTTATTTAGAGTCGAATTATAATTGTATGTGTGTTGCCAAAGACAATAAATATGCAATTGATTATTTGTTTAAATTATCTCTTCCCGTGATTTTGACTTAAATGCAAGCTAGTCTGCATTTTATTTATAAAATATCGCACATTTAAGACCGGGTTTTCAACAATTCCATTTCCATTTCAAATGCCACTTTGCAGAATGGTTTGTATTTTAGTTTTTGTTGATTGTTTGGCTATTTTCTAACCATGTCTATGGCCAGACTTTCAACTGTGATAATATGAAAATATTTTATTTAAATACAAAAAAAAAAATCAATTCCATCCCAATAAAGCTCGCAATTGAATACACAAAGCAATGCAGTTTTGTTGCTTTGTTTATTTTTCTTCCATTGTGTGGCAGAAAGGACATGAAATATTGAACGCATATTAAAGCGTCTGCATATTTGAAATACTATAAATACATATATACCATACTATATATCACAATTTGTTTTAAAGTGCATTGCTGTTTGTTTCGCTCTGCTAGTGCCACAGAATTTCATATTTAATTTAGACATCTCTCGGATGGAGATATGCAAACATTTTTAGAATACAATTTATTCTCTAACCACATTCTTTTTATTCGGTTTTATTGCGTTTTTGATGCATATATGTAGTATATACTTGTATACCTGTATCGAGTATCCAGTATACGTTGCTGTTGTCTACTTTTCGGCACTTATGGCATTTTAATTGTCAGCATTTATTCTGCAATTAAATAATTAACACGCCACGACGTACGAACAATGTTGCTGCCTGGTGGCTGGGTGGGGGTGTTGGGGGCTCAGCCCGTGGCTCTTGTCCAAAAACATATAGGCGGCAGCAGGGAAACTTTGTCGATATCAAAGCAGCCGCTAATTACAACGTTGCTGTATTCGCGGCTATGAGCCGTCCATGATTATTTGATTAAATGACAGCAACTAAGCTGATTACGTGCACGTAATGCAATCAGGGCCGTCAATGCCACACGCAGCACACACGTGTCCAGGGGCCGTCGATAAGCCGCATGGGAACGAAAATACCAAACACTGATGCTTGGCTCTACGCCCCAGTAGGATCCCCATTCCTTTCGTCCACCACAGCCCCCCCTCCCCACACCAGGCGACGGCTGTCAAACACCTCGATCTACCTCATGCATTCAACAAACAAGAGATTAATTTGTTTTGCAAACTAATACTGGTCTTAAGTAAAGCATTTTTAATTCATTTATGATTAATGAAATATCAAACACTCGTAATAAAAAAGCCGGTAGCAATTTGTTGATATTTTAGCTTTTTCTCTTAATTTTGATTGAGATTATTAACGTTAAAAGGCAAAACTTATGTTGCTGTGTCTGAGCAAATAATTCATAACGATTCATCTGTAAGGATTTTGGGTAAAATATTTGAAAATTTGAGGGTCAGGGCAGGAATTTAGTCCGAATATCTCTGCGCAACCGTTCTAAAACCGCTCCAGAAATTGCTGCCGAACTTAAAGATGTCAGCAGCTCTTTAGTCCCTTTAGACACTTTAATAAAATATATTATTTACTTATTTACAAAGAAAACTAAAACTAAAATTAGTAAATAGTATTATGGAGGAAAGAAGTATATCGAGATAAAAATGGAAGTAGTGAAGATACATTTTAAAAGACTATTTACAATTATAGTAAGTATTGATTTAAATTTTAAATTTATAAGTATATAAGAATAAATATAATAAATTAGCAGCAGAATATGTGTAAATACATACATAAATATTTACAAGTTGTTTTATACTAATTGCTTATATTAAGTGATAAATATTAGCATGTTTCGTAAAATTTGATAAGTAATTGAACGTTTTCTTTATCGGGGTTGGAGAGGGAGGAAATGTTCTCAGAGAGTTGAGGGTTGGACGTGAATTCCAAAGATGTAGTACTGAGAGCGGGGTGTTGGTATTGTTGCAATAAAATATAATTTTGACATAATATTAACATGTGGGTGGCATTTTTTATTAAAATTAGAAAAAAAAAAATTCATTTGGCTTTTTTATGAGCACGCATTGCTCTCAATGCACATCCTATGAAATGGGTCTATTTTGCTAATCACTTTTGCGAAATAAACAGAACAAACGTTCACTTGGCGGCCGATAGCTTAAAGAATGTTTTCGCAATCGCACGATTTCATTATTAATTTTTCTAAAATAGCCTACAAATTGCAATTCGCTTATTTTGGCTACGAAATATTGCTCTCTTTTTTGGCCAAAAATAGTTGGCTAACAAGACTGTTTTGCTTAACGTTTAACACAGAAATAAATATTAATGTTCAATCAAACAGCTCTGATAGCTTTAAGAATAGCAGCTGAACTTCGGAAAATTGATAACCAGAACCAAAAAAGAACCAACTGCACTGCACTTTTTCCACCAAGAACAAATGAAAGAGCAAATTAATTGGACGATGCTATAAATATATTCCCAGTATTAATGCCTGGCATTGCATAAGAAATGTGAGATATACGAGTACCAAGTAAATATTTTCGAATTCTAATGCTAATCAACATTTGTCCGGATTGCAAATTTATGTTCAAGCATGAAACGTGCTGAATCCAAACCCCATTTCATTACAAAACCATGAAATACTTGTACTGAACAGAAGCTGGACGCACAGTTCTCGCGAATGGACGAGTACTACAAATGTTCGACAATTGGTTGAGTTTAATTGCACTTTTATCTTTACATACGAGTCCTTCGTATATTTAGCTTGAAAAAGCAATGGAAAATAACGTTGTTATTTCTCCATCATCCTTCGGACAGAGCAGGTAATGGCACACTGTTAGCAGAGTCCTACTGGGATGGAGGGCGCAAGGCTAGTGGGCTAGTGGTGGTCTGCTCTGGTGTATTGGAAGTGGGAGCGGGACCGGCACCGGGCCCGGTGCACTCATTGCTGCTAATCAAGTGCTGTAGTCTAGTGTGATGGTGGTGGTGGTGTTGGTGGTGGTGTGCGCTCCACCACCAAAGCCTTCTCAATTACATTTACACGGAGGCAGGACATGGGGATGGGGGCGTAGGTAGCTGGTTGGCTGACTGGCTGACTGGCTGGCTGGCGCAGGATACAAAGCTGCAGGTGTCCTAGCCCGTGTCTGCGTCACTTGTCCGGCACGTTGCCAGCTGAAGGTTATTGCATGTCGGAGCTGTACTCCAACTACCGTCCCATTGCCTTGTTAATTAATGCAATTGTGATAATTCAACCGCATGCTGCATTATGTTTCACTAATTTATGACATCGCATTGCTCTAATCGGATCGCCAGTGATGTCAGCGCCTGTGTACCCCTTCCTATCGATTACCTTTTTCGTAGCTCTGTGTTTGTGTGTGTGTCGGATACAGCTGTCCTGTTTATTCAGTTCAAGGTATTGTGCAGATAATTAATGCGAGCCTACGCTTCATAGAAATCAAATGGAATCGAATGTGGTTGACGCACTCGTAACAATCAGCAGCCACAGCAGCCCTTAACATCGAATGCAATAATTTAGGCATATTATGAAAATTTAGAATGGCCATACTTGTAATTGATTGA